AATTTTTTTGTAACAAGGGGGGGGTTTTTTTTTTTTTTTTTTTTTTTTTTTTTCCACACAGAGTAGGAGGATACACATCAATGTACACAACACCCCAATTTGTTTAATTAAATATTTTTATATTTTTCTGGTGTTATGCTTTAGTAGGTCTTTTTAATGCTTTCCTTGTACTCTTTCATTTAGGTCCTGTTCACACCTGTGCATGCATTAAAACAAACCTTTACCTATATCTTGCAAATAACAAATGCACCTTTAGAAATGTTTAGTAATGACAATCTACAAACACATACTTCTAGTTAACTGCATGCTTTGTATTCTTTGCATAGCTTATTTCTCCTTCCCTGGTCCTCTGACAGTGGCCATGTTAACTAAGGTCAGATTACTAGCTCTCCTATTACTTCCTGAAAATCTGGCACTAGATTGCCAAAATGTGACTAGACATGTGACCAGGCATATCGCCTCGGGAGCAAAGTGCCTTTCACTGAGATGAGATTTCCCAGCAATGCTCTGCTGATAAGGCAATCCCAGGATGCATTGCATGGGCAAACTTAAGTAATTTGCACTTTCGAAACAGGAAATGAATGCTCTGCAAGTGTACGTTTTTCAAAATCAGCATTTTACACCTCACTTGTCTTTCCTTATTCATCATACATAGAATTTTTGAGTCTAAAGATCTGCTTTAACATGTTCTAAGGCAATCAATTCATTTTTAATAGGTCCTTAAACAGACCCTGGGACATTCCCAAGTGCACCCCCTTTTTGCTGTATATTCACCAAAATTTATGACTGTATCTTGTAACGCTCTTCTAAATCCCATTAATCCTTGTATCTTCCACACCCTTTTTGTTTTTTCCACACCTGACTGGTAGTTTATCCATATATTCAGAGATTCCTCCAGGTATCTGCAGATTGTTGCCCAGAAACAAAAAGTACAACTCTGTAAATCGGTGTATTAAAACAATTATAAAACAAAAGTTATTGTGCACTCACACTGTTCCTGGGGAAGTCTCTATGACGAAGCACATTGGGTTGAGCCTGTAAACCTCACTTCTGGTTGGAGAGGGCTGTTTTTACTAAAGTTTGGAGAAATGGTTATGGGATTTTGAGCTCCAGTTTTTTATTCTCTCCGGCAGCTACTTTAAGGCCCCATTCACACTGAGCGATTTTATCGCGCGGTAATTCCCCCGATATCGCTGCAATTTACCGCGCGATATCGCTCTCCAATGCATGGCAATGGGGCTCTGTCCGTCGCTGTCGCGGGTCGTGCGTCGCTACAGCAGGACCCTTTTTTGGAGCGGATTTTGCCGCAATTCTAGCTGGCTCAATGCAAGCATTTGCACGATATTGCGCAAAATGCAAATCGCGCGACAAACCACGATTTGCTCAATGTGAATGGGGCCTAAAGGTTATGTGGGGAGAGGTGGAGTAGTTGGGCCAGCACAGGCGGTGGGGAGAGGTGGAGTAGTTGGGCCAGCACAGACGGTAATTAGACACTCCCAGAAGAGGAGAGGGCAATGACATGGCAGGAGGAAGGGAGAACTGTTGCTGAATCTGCACTTCAATAGCTTATTTGGAGTGTAAAGGTGACACTGTGGGTCTTTTGGACCCCCAGCATCACCTTAAAGAGTACCTGTCACCACCATCTGCTATCACATGGGGGGCTTGTAAGCCCCCCTATGTGATAGCAATCAAAGTAAAAAAAAAAAATAGTTTTTAAAATGAAATAAAATAAAGATAATGAAAAAATTTTTTAAAGTTCCCCGCGAGCACATGCATCTGCACGTAAACACGTGTCGAGTGCGTCTACGTATTAAAACGACGAACTCGTTGGGTATCGCCGCGCACGCCGGAGTGAGAGCAATAATTCTAGAGCCAGTATTTTTGGGTATCTCTAAATTGATGACCTGTGGGGGCTTTTAAAGCGTAGTCCTATTAACTTTTTTGGGTACTGAGGTTTGTCGCCGTTTCACGGACGCACACAATTTTTAACCTGGGCATGTTGGGTATGTAGTTACTCGTTGTAACCATCTTTTATATTGTATTTAAAAAATGGGTATTGTGTTTTGGGGCATTTAAGTACATTTTTCACTTAATTTTGGGGTTTGATAAGGAGTTGCGCTAATATTGTGCAACATAAATTTGAGCACAGGATGCTGCGTACAAATCACACACAGCACCTGTCCTTCCCGGGAGATGCCCGATACGGCCGTGTATCTAGCACGGATCTGTACAGGCCGACCGCTACCCGTGTGAATGAGGGCTTAAATGTCAGGAGAAATACTACTAGAACAGCTAAACTTTATACAGGCTTAATCAGTCACTTTAATTGATGGCAGGTGTGTACTGGCTACTATCAGTTTGAATGTGATTGGTTCATTCTGAGCACAGCCACATCCCTAATTATAAGAGGGTGTGTACACTTAAGGTGCCCATACACCTTACGACCATCGCAAGACTTTTATCTTGCGATGGTCGTAAGCTTATTAAAAGCTCGCACGATCTGCCCATCTTGGACAGGCAGATCGTACTTGCGATCATCTTCCGATGACTATGACGAGGGGCGGGCTTCCGATAACTGCAAACGGGCAGTGTGCGGCAGTACCGGCCCGTTCGGCAGTTGTCGAACAGTCAGGCCACTAACCCTCCGAGAATCGTACGATTCTCGGCGGGTATTCAAGCCTGCTTGTTCGACTGTAGACGGGCGACCGTACAGTAGAAACGGTTGCACGCCTTCCATACACTTTGCGATTATTGTACGATCGTGGGATTTCCCGCGATTATCGTACGAGAATGCACAGTATTGGTCACAAAGGTGGAAACAAATCTGAAGTGATTTTATCTTGGTCTGATATTTTTATGCATCTCAAAAACCTGACATTTTTACAGGGGTGTGTAGACCTTTCTTTTATACAATATATATGTTATTTGGGTTTTAAGCGCATCATCTCTGAGCAAAATAAGGCATGGGAGGGGCAAGGCTAAAACTGAATTTCTAGTGGGGATCAGTATTTGTCTAATAAAGCACCTCATATTTCAGGACTACCAGGGTGCGCTGGAGGTGTACCAATAATGTAGGCATTATTACTAAATCCTGAAGGCAGCTGTAAATATCCAGACCTGTTATAGGCATCTTTTAAATGGTTTAGACCATGGTACGTTAGTGTTGTACATCATTCTAGAGTCAATGACATAATTTGTTGGATCATTGTGATAACTGTTTCAGAATGTTGTCAATACACTTCTAAATGGTTTGTGTGTATGTTTCTCTGCAGATATGGGATAAAACCACCTTGGAATGTCTAAAAATTCTAACAGGCCACACTGGATCAGTCCTCTGTTTACAGTATGATGAGCGAGTCATAGTTACAGGCTCTTCAGACTCCACTGTAAGGTATGGTATGAGCCACATAGCTAGGTAGACCTTACATTTTACTTTTAATCTGTGAAACAGTAGATCTTTAATACTAACAGGATTGCCTCCTTTGATTTGTGCTTATAAAATTATAAGCCTTTTCAAGTTTCACTGTAATCCAACACTTCCGCAAATGTTAAATTGTGCGTTGCAGTCATGGGCGCTGCCACTTTTTACCTCTCCTTTTTCACTTTCACCGCCACTACGACACATTCTTGTGTTTGTGTGCCACTCCTAACACTGTCTTTCATGTCTTTCCTATGGCATCCTGAAGACTGACAGTCGCACTGAGGAGAACCAGCAGCAGCTTCAGTGAGGCCAGTATTTGCTTGTTATAAAAATCTGCAGGTCTGCGAATGCGCAGTTGCTGCCAGCTCTCCTTAGGTGTGGCTCCACCTGCCAGAGATAGAGATGCAGGTTCTGCTGTTTCTTCTTCTTTGTGCAGCTTCCCACTGAGCCTCCAGATGCCAAATGAAAGGCATGATACAGTGTTGGGGGCCATGCACAAGAATGTGCTGTAAGCCGGAGAGGGAGTATGGAGGGTGCTGGGTCGCGGCAGCAGTAACTGACACTTTTATGTATGTTTGTTTGTTTTTTTTAAGTCATGCCACACTTTTCTCTTCTCCTGTAGGCTCACCTTAGGGGAAGCACATTCAGAAAGTGAACTTTCCATAGTGCAGGGTAGATGAGTCTCCGCTTAATACAAACTTGAAGTAACATGTTCTTAATAAAAGCATCACATCATGGGGTAGTAGCAGCCTCCAGATGTCACTTTATTTATCCTACTAAGTGGTCTGGATCCCCGAATCTCAAAGTTTTGGTATTGAAACCTGTTGTGTGAGATAACTGACTTAAGAGAGCTGGGGAAATTTGTTTCAACCCTGGGTTTTACACCTCCCAAGGTGCTCAGAGGGAAAACAGAAGTAACGTACAAGCACGTGGATGCACATTATGTGCATTTCACAAAGTAAATCTCAATTCAGGTGTTCCTTAAAGCAGAGAAAAGCATCAGTATTTATATTTTTAAAAAGCACACTTGGAGGTGTGGCCTGAAGCGTGACCAAGATGGACACTTAAACCTTTTATACTCTGGTACACGGGCTCCCTTTTCCCAGCATATTGCAGAGCCTCATCTGCTTTCCAATATGGGGGAAGTTGGACGCAACACCCCGGCTGGAAATTCACCCCAGGATTCGGGCACCCAGCTAAGCTGTAACCTCCCTGACCTGTTTCGCTCTCAGCCTACTGGTCGCCATATGGGAGCTTCGGCACCATCGGCCTACTTTAATTACAGTCCCCGCAGCAGCCCAGATCGGGAACTTCAAGAAAACTTAGATCCTGACAGCAGCGACATTCTTGCTCTCATGAACAAGATTGCCCTGGATATTAAGTCGACATTGTCAACTGCTGTCGCTGACCTAAAGGCGCATGATCTTTAACGATCTACTTGACTGACTATTGGAATCCCTGATTGTGTTTGAGCACTTCCACCATGCACAGCGGGCAAGAGGCAGAGACACTGACCGACTGAGACATATCATATGCTGCATAGTGGATTTTCGTCTGAAGGAACAGATTCTTCAAAGAGCCCGGGAAAGACCTTGACTATTCCTTTCGTCCGCTTCTACAGTCTCCCACTACTCCGTCCGCTTCTACAGTCTCTGCGCTCTCTGGGTATTCCCTACTTATGGCGATTTCTATTTGGCCTTGTAGCTGTGTGCTCCGGCCGCACGTTTCTCCTTACCTTGCCCTCCGAGTTACTATGCTCTTAACGGCCAATTCATACTCTGGAACACCCGGCTCGGTATGAAGCCTTTCGCCAAGCTGAGTGTCTTCAAAGGCCCTCCTCTCCATCTCAGTCTGCACATCCCAGTCCAACCACACCGGAGCGACCGGACTTCTCAGATCTATACTCCTGCTTGAGGTCTTTCCCCTGCAAGGTCTTTGATCTGCGCCCCCACAAGGTGACAGCATCTCGATGGCTCTCTGCTTGTGCCGCCCCAACAGGGGCATAGAATATGAGATGCATAGCCTCAGTTAATATTAGCATTGTTATATAGGTTAGAATTTATATAGTGTGATTTGCCTAACTATTTTTTCATAGCTAAATTCATGTGTTATCCTTTGCTGCCATCTAGTGGCCTTTTGTTGTAACAAACATGTTTTCTGTAATTATTCCTCATGTGACGATGTATTTCCCCCTAGTGTAGCCCCACCCTTCTTCCTGTGTGCAGTACTTCCTGTGTCATGGCCACAGTTAAAAGCCACATGTAACAATGACACACATGTGATCTGCACAGTACGTAGGAAAGGCATCATTTTCTGACCGCACAATACTATAACCGTTCAACTGCTGTTCCTATCATCTGCTGTAACCCTGATGTAGAAGAATAAACACCTTTTTTGAATGAATCGGTATTGACGAGTTCAGCTATCTGACGAGGATTGTCCGCAGTGAGTATATCTGCTTATACAGGCCAGGCATAGAGGTCTCAGCAAGGGATATATTTCGCTATCACAACGATCGGAGTCAGAATACTGCTACTGCTCATTTTACTTCTCCATGGCTCAGAGTTTCTCATTCTCCTCCTGACCCTCATGATTCCCTTTGCTCTCATAGATGTCAGGTACTGTGTTTTCTTTGTAATTACCCACTGTCTTTGTCCCAAGTACTTCCCCATTTCCTGACTCTTCCCCCTGATACTCCCTTATGGCTATTTTCAATGGCTCCTTGCACTTTATTATGCCACCATTCCTTCTACTTGAGGATGATCTAACTTTTTTATTAGCTGGACGCTTCCTTGGCGCCACCTTCCTTGGCATTGAGAACACCCTATGTTCTAACTTCTTTTTATCCAAGGGACCCCCCCTCCCTCTCACTGGGTTTCTATACTCCTTTTTCTTTTTTTTTTTTCTTCTGTACTCTGTAATCTATTCACTTTTTTTTTTCCTTTTACCCCTCTTACTCTCCTCTCCTCCTTCTTGCACACCTTTTTGCTCTTTTTTTCCTCCCTCTTGTTTCCTCCGTTATGCCCCACATTTTAATATACCTCTGAACTCCGTTGTTGACGCATCCTCTGGTCAATCGTCCCCACCGTTTTGCTGTCTTCGACAAGTTAAACAACTGCTAGCTTTTCTCTGCTTACATAACATCTGGCAGTTTCTTCATCCTTCTTCCAAGGACCCTACTTTTTTTTCTCCCATCCACACTCTAGATAGTTACGACTTGACTTCCTTTTTCTTTCCCAACACAACCTTCCATACCTCGCCAAAGCCACGATTGAACCTATGGTCCTCTCCGACCACACTTCAATTGATATGACGTTGATGCTTCCTTTTCACAGTACTCTATTCTGTCCTTGGAGGCTCAAGCCTTCTATCCTTAAAGATGCTGCTTATGTCTCTAAGATTAAGCTGTCTGAGTACTTTGAATTAAACACAGGTTCTTGCTCCTTGACTTCTGCTCTGGCAAGCCCACCAAAGTGTTGTCAGGGGGAGTTTACCCGGATTCAAACCATCTTCATAAGCTGAAGAAAAACCAATCTTCCTCACTTGCTCATATATCTTCCCTTGAGGAACTTCATAAACGTTCCCTAACAGAAACTTATCTAGGGAATTGACCCATGTCTGCACTGAACTTCATCTCATGCAGGAAAGTACTAAGAAAGCCTTCACTTTGCACGGTAAGATTTAATCTGAAATAATGAATGTGCAGCGCTAAAAGTGGTTCGTGTGCAACACATATATTGTGCTCAATCTCTCCAGTGTAATGTGTGAAAAAAACAATGAATATGTGAGCAAACCGCAATAAATGCTAAGTGGCCTCAATGTCGCCACGTAAAAATGCCCTTAACTAAAGTAAGACAAAAAAGTGCATCATAAATGAATAATATCACTGTGTAACTGTGTGTCAGCTATAATGATAACACAATCAAATCGTAATCAATAGTAATCCATCAAACCAAAATCCAGGTGTGATAATAGTGCATATAGTCCAAAGTGGAATAATTAAGTCAAAGACCAAACAAAGTGTTCCAACACCGCTGTGCAAGTGTACACGAGTCCCCCTCTGGGGTGCGCACTCACCCCACTGTAGTGGAAATTAGGCAGTGTAGATAGATCTATACGTCCACATTCAAGATATTCTTTCTGGCAGTATCCCGTCAATCGAGCATTTGTGGAATTAAAAAAAACTCCTCATGGTGTGGCAAGTATACACATTTATTTAAAAAACATAGAAAACTTACAGTTAAAACAGCAAAGACCGGCCGGTCAAAGACCAAGATCAAATACAGCATCCGCAAGGCATGTACTTCCTGATAGAGCATGGTATCACATGGAGTAGGCCCGCCCCGACGTGTTTCGTCAGACGACGTCCTCAGGGTGTTGCAGGTCTACCCATTGATATCATCCTAAAGCTTATATAAACTGTATAAAATCCTTAATAGAAAGCGCCACTAGGTGTCCCCATAGTGCAAAAAACTAATATCTCTTCGCATATGAACACAGAACAGATATACCATTTAGGTAACAAAATTAATTAAATAACACTCTTTGGAAAGCTAAAAGAAATTTTGATCTATATATAAAAAAAACCATGTGGACTAAAAAAAACCTCCGAAGGTTGATATATTAATGGGATCTAGTATAAATTACTTTTTTCTCCCCTCCTTTTTTCTCCTAGAGAGCTGCCCGTATTTTTATTATCTTTTGTTTTGCATTCCCCCCTTTTTTATGCTTTTGCCTCTTCCTTTCTTGTTCCTTTTTTGCTTTTTCCATGCTACTTGCACTTTCCTTCCTGTACTATTCCCTGCTTTGAAATTTATCTGAAACCTCCAAAGGGAATTATAACTTCCCTGCTTCGCTATTACGAGTTCCCTTCACACCGAGGCTTTCATTCTGCAAGATTATAGACTTCGTGCACAATATCTACTATATACCCTGTGCCATTATTTTTTTTATTATCCATCTCTCATGTTATTTAAACCTTGTCATTATGTGTATTAGGGATGCACCGATACCACTTTTTTGGGTCTGAGTACCGATACTTTTTTTTAAGTACTCGCCGATACCAATTACCGATACTTTTTCTTAAAGGGGCAGATCAAATTTTTTCCAAAGCAATACAAAATAATGATTTTAGGTCAGTTTCTTAATATTATGAAGAACTGTAACTCAAAAGACAACATGACTGTCAAAAAATAAGTTTACTTTGCTTAAATTGTCACAAAGTTGTACTCAACGAAAGTTAGTAAAATCTCAACGTGCCATTTGAAAAAAGGCCACAATGGCGTATGGATAGGATGGAAGCAGATGGAATTGTGTAGAAAAGTGAAAAAACCTTAATTTAGCTTAAGACCTCATTCACACAACTAACAGCCGGCCCATGTTATATTAATACAGCATGGTCAAAGATAAATTAATCTTTATTTTATATAATATTGATTAAGCAATGGAAAAAACAATTATTTTACATTTATTCATGCTGTATTCACTCAGCTATGATTCCCTGGCTGGAATCCTTTTTTTTGCACCTGCAAGTAGATCGCGGCCATCTTGAATGAATGCAGACGCGGTCCTGTGTGCTGTGTGCGGCGGTAGGAGATGGCAGACACAGGTAGTCGTTTTAGATATCCGAGCATTTGCACGAGTACTAATGCAAATACTCGGTATTGCGGCCGATACCGATGCTTGTATCGGTATCAGTGCATCCCTAATGTGTATTGTCTCTTACACTGTTTTTGTTTTTTTTTGTCTTGGGACATACTTTTTGTCACTGTATCTTGTTCTTTTTTCCAATAAACATTATTGTTATTTCTGTGATTCCTGTCCCCTTTCTGAAAATACCAGATGGCTGTCATTCCGCTTCTCTGTCCTCAATACTTTCAGCCACATACCTAGGATAAGTATGCAGTTGATGAATTTATTGTGGGGCACTGAAATTGAAGCAGTCTTCAGAGAGAAAATTTGTGTGACGAGCACTTTAACAGTAATGTTTTATTATGTTAAAGGTTTCTGCATTGTGTGTGGCTGCCTCACTGTTTTTTCTTCATTTTGAATAAATTAGTAAAGGGCGAGAACTTCTCCTTTTTATTGCTGTCTCTGCAGATATCCCTTTACTTACTGTCCAGGGTGGACAGAGGTTACAGATCCCCCAATGGGAACATGTAAAACAAAAAAAAAATCCTGATGTATAGTTTTAACCCTTCTCCATTCTATCCAAACTTTGAAAAAAATAAATGTGTTGGGTGGAGTTGTACCTTTCATGGGTAATTTATTCATGTATACCTTTTTAGTAATGAATGGCCACTTATATTTATGTTTTAGTTATTTTGAGATTTATTTAACTATTTTTTTCTCTTATTTTAGAGTTTGGGATGTGAATAGTGGGGAAGTGCTCAACACTCTGATTCATCATAATGAAGCAGTACTTCATCTTCGGTTTTGCAATGGTTTAATGGTAACCTGTTCAAAGGATCGGTCAATTGCTGTATGGGATATGGCCTCTCCAACAGACATTACACTACGGCGTGTCCTGGTTGGTCATCGTGCAGCTGTAAATGTAGTTGACTTTGATGACAAATACATTGTTTCCGCATCTGGCGATAGGACAATTAAGGTAAGTTTATGTTCATACCAGTAATAAATATAAATTTTAATACATGTGATGTCATCATCCCTTTCCAAACGTCTCGCCATGGGTACAGGTACGAGGGTTCGTTGACATCCTATTAGGGCTCCCTGAACTACATATTTCATGAACGTTTGGGGAGTTCTGGTACCTCCCCCCATAACTGCAAGCCACTATTTGCATTAATAGTGCATGATAAATTATCCTTCTCTACATTATACAAAGGACAGGCAACAACAATCGACCATGTCGAAATGGGTGAGCCACACAAGCCAGAAGCAAGTGTGCTATCGTAGACAAGTGGGGTCCCAACACTGCTTAGTCTGCATAAAGTCCCACAATTATATGGTACCACTAATTTTTTGGAAGCAAAAAAATATGAATCTGCAAACAAGGCATAAAGTAATATGAGTAGCGAGTCACATTTTTAGCTGCCCCAGTCTTTCTCATATTACAGTTTGTGTGTATGGAGGGAGGGAGATGTCCCGATGGCATTTTTTTTTTCAAGACCAAGTACTTTCCCTCAGGTACTTGCTGATACCAATTACTGATACTTTTTTTCTAAAACAATGCAGATTAATCATTTTAATCTAATACTTGTCCTGATAAAAAAAGTTTTGACACTCACACAATGCCATACACATGCGTTTATTCGCACGCAGATGGCAGCGTTGGTTTATTATTTTAATTTGTATTTTAATAAAAAAATTTACCGTTGGCACATTAAAAAAAAATTATTTTCCGTTCATTGAAGGACACAGGGAACAGATCGGAAATCATGTACTGTAGGGATGCTACTGGGGGACATCTTGTCGCAATGGGACGTCTCCCTTGTCACTGGAGAGGGCGGTACGGCTTGCATAAACCATCCAGACGGCACAAGAAGTGTGGCCGCGGCTTGGGAAGGGGCAGGTGGTCTCTCCTGGGCGGGTGAGCATGTTCCATCTCTCTCTGTCGTTTACATTCTGTTGGTGGAGAATTGGCAGGCCAACTATCCCAGTCGCCGGACGGTGGATCCGGGAGTGTTTCATCAACTCTACCTTCGGCGGGGGACTCCGGATGTGGGTCTCCTGGGATCTCATCTCAATCGGCAAGTCGATCGGTCCAATGCCCGAACTCGGGATTCTTGGACGGATGCAGTGCATGCCCTGGTGGCTCCATGGGACCATTGTGGTCTGCTTTCCGCGTTCCCTCCGATTTACTGTTTACCGCGTCTTCTACACAGAATCACGGCCGAGGACATTCCCGTCATCCCTGTGGCTCCAGATTGGCCACGAAGGGTGTGGTAATCAGAGGTGGTCTGGTTGGTAGCGGACGTTCACTGGCGGCTGTCGATTCGTCCGGATCTTCTTTCGCAGGTTTCGGTGTGCCATCCGTCTTTTACAGTCGCTGGCTTGATGGCCTGGTTTTGAAGGGATCCTTCGGTAGCTCAGTTGGTAGAGCGGAGGACTGTAGTGGAATTCCAAGCTGTAATCCTTTGGGACTGAGGTCGGTCGGATGCGGTTATCTCTACGATGCTGAGAGTCCGCGGGCTTTGTCTCGGAGGATCTATCACCCTACCTGAAGGGCTTATTTTGACTGGTGTGAGTCGTGTGTTTTTCCGCCTCGTTTGTTCTCGGTGACCAGGATTTTGGCCTTTTTTGCACCGTGGGGTAGATCACGGCTGACCTTAAGTGCGGTGCAGTCCCAGGTTTCGGCCTGGATAGTTCTTTCCGGACGCCCATCGCGTCCTACGCTTTGGTTCGCACCTTCGTACAGGGGGTTACGCAGATTGCTCCTTCTGTCCGATCACCGTTACCGCCTTGGGATCTGAACCTGGTTCTTTTGTTTTTGCAGGAATCTCCTTTCGGACCTTTTGCGGGAGTTTCCGCGTCTGCCCTTGTCTCAAATGGTTGCCTTTTTGGTTGCCATCACCTCCGTTCGCAGGGTTTCGGGGTTAGCGACTCTGTCTTGCACTTCAACGTTGCTGGTCTTGCATCGGGACAATGTGATCCTACGACCTCGACCTTCCTTCCTGCCTGAGGGTGTTTTCAGTCTTCCATCTCAATGTGGACATTGTTTTTACCTTCCTTGTGTCCGAAGCCCGTTCATAGGAAGGATAGATGTGGTTCGCACTCTTCGGGTTTAATTGGGTGCTACAGCTTCGTTTCGCGAGTCGGATTCCTTTCATGTTGTTGCGGATGGTCCTCGAAGTGTCGGGTCGCTTCCTCGGCCATCATCTCTCGCTGGATTCGCAACGCGTTTTCTCAGGTGTATGCCTTTAAGGGGCGTTAGCCTTTTTCTGTTAAGGCCCATTCTACAAGGGCTGTTGAGGCATCTTGGGCCTTCTGTCCTGGTGCCTCGGTTTCTCGAGTTTGTAAGGCTGCTACTTGGTCTTCTGTTCACACCTTTGCCAAGTTTTATAAGGTGGATTTTGGCATCGGCGGATGCTGGCTTGGGGCGCATGATATTGCAGGCGGCCGTTTGAGGGGATTGTTTTCTGTTGGGTTTGTTTTTTTTCTGCCCACCCCTCTTCAGGTACTGCTTTGTGACGTCCCTACAGTACATGATCTCCGATCTGTTCCCTGTGTCCTTCAATGAACGGAAGAGAAAATAGGATTTTTGTACTCACCGTAAAATCCTTTTCTCTCCGTTCATTGAAGGACACAGGTCCCGCCCCTCTGTGTGGGTGTGTACTCCTAACTGCTTGTTACTTACTGGAGACTTGTCAGCAGGTGGGGGGTTTGGCCACCAGCAGGGGCCGACCCTAGGCTGTAATTGGTCTTTAGTTTTTTGCCTAGCGTCCTTCTCCTGCAGGTGGCGATATTACCCTCATCCCTACAGTACATGATCTCCAATCTGTTCCCTGTGTCCTTCTACGGTGAGTACAAAAATCCTATTTTTTTTTTTCTACTTCTTTTTTTTTTATTTCATTTTTATTTTGTATTTTTCTATTTTAATTTTGTTAGCTTTTTCCCTTTTTTTTAATCCCCTTTTTTAATTTGTATTATATTTCGTATTTTATTTTAATCACTTAAAGTGATATTAAATGATAAAATGTCACTTGCTAGCAGTCTATACACTGAGTGGCCAGATTATTATGACCACCTGATGTTTGTAGGCAAATTAGCTATAATTTTGCGCTGAAGTTGCTAGATGGCCAGACCATTATAAATAGGGAAGCAGGTTGTTTACCACGACAGTAGAAGTGATTTTTTTTTTTCTGAAGATATGGGTTAAACAACGCGATTTAACAGCCTTTGAACGTGGGATGATTGTTGGCGCTCGGAGCCATGGAGCAAGTATCCGCAAAACAGAAGAATTTGTTAAATGTTAAAGAGCAACTGTTGTTAAAGTGTTTAAAGACTGGACTGTCAGCCGAAAATCTGGGTCTGAATGTGCGAATTGTGGCCGTCAGCGACTAGTCAATGTTAGGGCAGAACAGAGATTGGCAAGACTGGTACAAGATAACAGAAGGGCAACAGTGCAAATTACTACAGATCTTAATCAGGGATCCTCTCCAATGATCTCTGAACGCACTGTTCGCCGTACACTGCATCGTATGGGATATAGAAGCCGAAGGCCTGTTCAAACACCTTTGCTGTCTGCAGTTGACTTAGTTGAGCTGCCTGTCACGCAAGCTGTTGACTCTCAATTTGTCTTCTGATTCTATTGTGGATTTGGGTCTGCCAGACCTCTTCCTGTCAGAGTTTCCACCAGTTTCCTAGTGCCTTTTGATGGTTTAGGAAATTCTACTCACTGACACTTTGGTATTCTTTGCAATTTCTCTAAATGAAATACCTACTCTTTTCCTTACAAAGTCTTTTATTCATTTTCCACTGTAAGTAAACAAATATACAGTTAATACAAACACTTAGTGTCACCAAACCGTCAACAATACTTCATTCCTTTCTTCCTTAAACATGCTTTAATATACTCTATTCCTTATAAGTATGGCTAATAGAACTTATGCATTATGAGAGATAGTGTTTTTAAGAATACCCTAATGAAGAGGCTTCACTCATTGATATCAATAAGAACTATTCTTGTGTATGAAAAGGTACCTTTTATTTAACAAACTTCACATATACTCTCAATCTTCAATTAAACTGGTAACCCAGTCCTAAACCTTAATAAACCTTAATACATAGTGTTCCCAAATTTATTGAGTGGTCATCTCCTAGGTTCATTCATTTTATAACCAAAGTGATTAATTCCTTGTGACTATCACCACAATGCCTTGCGTAATAAACAGTATAAAAAAGGCTATTATTAAATAGGCTGGTATTATCAGGATGCCGGGCGACGGGTCATGACCAGCTGCCCGACATCCTGGTTGACTGGGAAGCCGGTGTTCTATGGGAAGAACACCAGCTTCACTATCTTCGCGACACTGCGAGGCAGCCTGGCTTCCTGACCAATCAGGAAGCCGTCAAGAGTTCATGATGTGCCACCCGGCTTTCTAATTGGTCAAGAAACCAGGCTGTGTCGCAATGGTAGGCAAGCTGCTATACGTTTGATATAACACGGCCTTTCTTGCCAATTAGAAAGCTGGGAGGCGGGTCATGATGCCTACCGGCTTCCTGATTGTCTAGGAAGCTGGCTTCACTTGTTGCTAGGCAGCCTGGCTTCCAGATAGAGCCAGCTTCCTGACCAATGCATGCCTCCCTTGGGGCACTGTTTTGAATAACTCTAAAATGTATTTTTTTAACCTTTTTTTTCATTAGGTTCACTTTCTGTGAACCTAACAGTCTTTTTTTTTTTCTTTTCTTTTACCTCTGGCAGTTTACATATATACACTATGTTGCCAAAAGTATTGGGATACCCCTCCAAATCATTCAGGTTTTCTAATCACCTCCATGGCCACAGGTGTATAAAATCAAGCACCTAAGCATGCAGACTGCTTCTACAAACACGTAAAATGACAGAGGGGTCAGCACTTGCTGAAGCATACAGCATGCAGAAGTCGCCAACTGTTTGCGGAGTCAATAGCTACAGACCTCCAAACTTCATGTGGCCTTCAGATTGACACAACAGTTCATAGAGAGCTTCGTGGAATGGGTTTCCATGTCCCAGCAGCTGCATCCAAGCCTTACATCACCAAGTGCAATGCAAAGCATCGGATGCAGTGGTGTAAAGCACGCCGCCACTGGACTCTAGAGAAGTGGAGACGTGTTCTCTGGAGAGACGAATTGCGCTTCTCTGGCAATACGATGGACATGTCTGGGTTTGGCGGTTGCCAGGAGAACAGTACTTGCCTGACTGCATTGTGCCAAGTGTAAAGTTTGGTGGAGGGGTGGTGTATGATGTGGGGTTGTTTTTTAGTGGTTGGGCTTGGGCCCTTGGTTCCAGTGAAGGGAGATCTTAAGACATCAGCATACTGAGACATTTTGGCTAGTTTCATGCTCCCAACTTTATGGGAACAGTTTGGGGATTGCCTCTTCCTGTTCCCACATGACTGCGCACCAGTGCACAAAGCAAGGTCCATAAAGACATGGATGAGCGAGTTTGGGGGTGGAGGAACTTGACTGGCCTGCACAGATCTCAACCCAATAGAACATCTGTGGGATGAATTAAGAGTGGAGACTGCGAGCCAGGCCTTCTCGTCCAACATCAGTACCTGGCCTCACAAATGCGCTTCTGAAAGAACGGTCAAACATTCCCATAGACCTCCTAAACCTTGTGGACAGCCTTCACAGAGTTGGAGCTGTTACAGATGCAAAGGGTGGGCCAACTCAATATTGAACCCTACGGACTAAGACTGGGATGCCATTAAAGTTCATGTCCGTGTAAAGGCAGGAAATCCAATACTTTTGGCAATATAGTATATGAGGGATGCACCAATATATCGGCTGCCGAAACATATCAGCTGAAAATGGCACTTTTGGCTAAATGCCGAAAGAGCTTTTTTTCTGACGATATAGCGGTGCATCCGTGATTTCTCTCCTCACTGCTGGGCGCTGCTCTGTGTCCTAGTGGGGACGAGAGAAACTTTCACAGGCGGCCGAGCGCTGCGGGAGGAGAGCGCTGCTGGAGGAGAGCGCTGCGGGAGGAGAGCGCTGTAACAGATCGGCGGAGCTGTGTGTGGGCGGAGACAGCCAGTGCTGTCAAAAGAGGCTGAGCTCAGCCTCCTGTGACAGCTGTCAGGATGGAGTGCGAGGTACAAACACTCGGTGATCCCTAAAAAAAAACCTCATGCTCGCCACTGCCAGACACGCCCGCATCCACGCTCGACACGCCGCACCTCCTCCCTGCCTCACTCTCCCCACCCCAAATAAACAATCGGCACAGGGATGCGGGGAGAAGAAGTAAGGAGGAGCAGGTGTGGAGTAAACACAGTTGATTGAATTGAGAATGCCAATCAGCAGTGTTCAAACTCTAATCAAGAAGTGTAACATGAGGGGTTCTGTTGAAACCAAACCACGGTCAGGGAGACAAACTAAACTGTCAGCCACAACTGCCAGGAAAATTGTTCGGGATACAAAGAAAAACCCACAAATAACTTCAGGTGAAATACAGGACACTGGTCGAGTCGCCAGAAGAAAGCCATTACTACGCAAATGCCACAAAGTATCCCGCTTTCAATACACCAAACAGCACAGAGAAGCCTCAAACCTTCTGGCACAAAGTCATTTGGAGTGATGAGATTGAGCTTTTCGGCACAACCATAAACGCTACATTTGGAGAGTAGTTTCTGTGCTACAAAGGCACAGGAAAGTTGGTCAGAATTGATGGCACCAGAATGCAGTATGTTATCAAAAGATACTGGAGGACAATTTGCATGCATCAGCCCGGAAGCTGCGCATGGGACGTACTTGTACATTCCAACATGACAATGATCCTAGGCACAAGGCCAAGTTGACCTGTCATTGGCTACAGCAGAATAAAGTGAAGGTTCTGTAGTGGCCATCTGTCTCCTGACCTCAATATCATTGAGCCCCTCTGGGCAGATCTTAAACGTGCAGTTGATGCAAGACAGCCCAAGAATTTACAGGACCTGGAGGCTTTTTGCCAGGAAGAATGGGCAGCTTTACCATCTGAGAAGATAAAGCCTCATCCACACATACCACAAATTACTTCAAGCTGTCATTGATGTTAAAGGGGGCAACACACCGTATTAAGAACTGGGGTATGTAAACTTTTGATCAGGGTCATTTGGTTTGTTTCTGTTGTCATTATGATTGAAAAAGAGTAAACACAGCTGATTGATAATAAACAGCTTCAGCCAAACACTACCCATGAGTGACAGGTTTTCGTGTTATCGTTCATATTCTCTGAAAAATGGCCAGGAAATCATAAATTACGTGTGGGTGTGTGTGTGTGTGTGTGTGTATATATATATATATATATATATAGAGG